TAACAAGAAGAAACTCATCTGTCAAGAAATCCAATTGACTCAAAATAATCATTTAGTGTTTTGAGAATGTATTTCTATTGCTTCCTTGGCTTCCTTTTTTGTGGAGTTAACAAAGAAAAATCTGTTGTGGAAACAGTATAATTTTCTATAAAGAAAATTAAACGACTGCCTTAAGGGTGGTTTGGCAAGAATAGTACTGTCCACAAACACACAGCGATACACACACCTGTGCACAAATGTGGGATACCTGTAGTTCTAATGAAAACATGTCAAGGTCATATTTCACCCCAAAATAAAATTGTTTTATTTCTTTTATTATTAATTTTTATGGTATTTATGACTGTTACAGCAAATAAACATTTATGTAAAGGTATTACAACAAATACCATGATATAGAAACACTGTGTATTATGTAATGTAATGTAATTTTTTTTTTTTTAGAATTTTAGTCACAAGAATTTGGAAAATGTGATTTTCACAAAAATGTGAATGAGAATAATCACAGTTTTATTAGGATACAGATATGACCATGCTCTTTATTTTAATTTCCTCCTTTGATGAAGTTGTTGTTCTTCAGACATGTTTTATACAGGTTTTGTGAGACTCACTTAGCTGGCCTTTTGAGGTCACCATCTCCAGAGGGACAAAGACAGCAACAATGACCTGATGAAATAGTGAACGTCTAATTCCTCTCTCTTCCTCTCCCCCCCGTTGTGAGATTAATGCCACGTGGAGGAAATATAACAGATAGTTTAATTAAGTGCCAGGGCACAAGATTCATTGACTAATTTCTGCGGCTGACAGTGCAAATGAGGGTTCAAAGGTGCGAGCCGAGGAGACACCCTTGAGTGGCTCTGTGTTTAATGAATTGAGCGCTTTCCCTATAAAGTTCCTGCGCAAAGCAGCGCGCACATTAAAGCTAGCCTTCAATGTGTCAGGACAGCCTACCGTCCTCATATACTACACCAGCATACCTGCCTGGAGAGAACACACACTCATGCCCTCTGTACTTACACTTTAGCCACGCAGGTATTGCACGAGGGCCATGAAGATCTGCTGAAAAGCATTTGTTAGACTGGAAATGGTTCTTTTATAATGATCTATAGCTTAATGAAGACATTATGAAGATCTAGATTACTGCATGGCTGACCCCCAAAATGAGATTCAGGGATAATTCACCCAAAAATTATTATTCTGTCATCATTTACCGTCATGTTTTTCCAAGCCTGTATGACTTCTTTTCATTCGTGAAATACAAAAAGAGAAGTTTTGAAGAATGTTTAGGCTGCTCTTTTCCCTCCAGTGAATGGAATGCAGGACTGTTACGTTTAGATGTAAACACAATCAGTTCTTCTGATTTTAAATTGATTTTTTTAAACAGTTTTTGAATTTTATTTATTTATTCATTTATTTATTTATAACCTTGATCAAAGTTTCTTGCTCCAGAGTCATAATTTAGTTTTTCCTGACTATTTTCCACCATCTGTCCACCATCTATCCTTTGTGTCTGAAACATATTGCACATGGCAACAGCTGGCTAAATCTAGGGCTGGGCGATTTTGCAAAAAATTAAAATCTCGATTTTTCTAGAATGTTTGACCGATTCTCGATTTTTTACGATTTTTAACTAGTCTACTTGAAAATGTAACTACAACATGATTCAAGTGACTTTTTCTTTATTAATCCTTTAGTTAAAGAAAATTCTATTCTAAGTGCAGCACACATGAAGTTGTCAACATGATGTAAATGTTAAACAAATATCTTTGCAGAAAAGATGCATGAACTACAAGTAAATATTGTACAAACTTGTCTTATACAGGTGCATCTCAATAAATTAGAATGTCGTGGAAAAGTTCATTTATTTCAGTAATTCAACTCAAACTCATTAAATAAATTCAGTGCACACAGACTGAAGTAGTTTAAGTTTTTCCACAACATTCTAATTTATTGAGATGCACCTGTACATATTATGTGTTCAGAAATAGAGGAAAATGCTTTTCAAAATGTTCTAAAGTCAGGGTAATTCAAATTCAAAATGACTGAAGGTTAACACCAGTAGACTATCATTAACTATAAATGTTCTGTAAAAACAACAGCAGCTTTCAGCCTGTCACCATGATGCAAACATGAAATATCAGACATACAGTAGTAGTTCTTTACAGGTTTTTTATTCGATTGAGCTGCTTTTCCATTGTTTTTTCTGTGTAAACATGGATGTGTTTGACAGTTGCGCTCACGTCTCTTGCAGTGTCTCATGCATGAAACGCCGTTCTAAAAACACTGCGCTCAAGTTAAAAGAAGTTCACTCCCATCTTCTTGC